TATATATATATGCTAAGGTGATGGTAGTTGATTACTTTATGATTTGATTATTGCTTTGTTTGACTACTAGACTAAATGGTAGGCCAATTGCTTATGTGTTTGAAAGGATATTAGAGAAACTCTTTGAATAGCGCCAATATTTATCTTTTATTGGTGTTCATGCTTAGCAAGGAAATATAAATGTTAAAGTGTTTTTAAAACTAACATGTTTTTTTTATAAGAGTTGCATGTTCATGTTTATGCCCCTAAGAATGATATAGTAGGATGTGATGCTTGACACCTAGCTATATGTGATATATTTGCTTGTGATTGTACATGTTCATGTATTACCTCTATTTTGTAGGCTTAATTAGTATATAGTTTAGAAATATAAATGTAATTTAAATTAAAACAATGTGTAAAATCGGTAGGAGTAGGATGAATAGGATGGGCTGCATAGCTTGGTGATACCAAGTTAGGCCTAAAAGACCAACACCAAGACAAAGACAAATTAATCAAAATTAAAGAATAGAGAAGGCCCACACTTATAACTTGACTACAAGTTTATCTTTTTTCTCCAGGGTGTACTGCGGTACCCACCTGCATCAGTCTTTTCTTATATTATTTGATTTGTTCAATATGTGTTTGTTGATGTGCATATATTGTTTTGGTTATTGTTTTGGTACATAAGATACACATAAGATACATTTTTTTTTTTGTTAATGTGTAAAATTTAATAAGATTAATCTTCTTCCAAACTTAATTAACTTGAAATCAAGAATTAAATGAAATCAAACAAATAAAATTAAATTCCCTTAGGAAAACAATAAAATAAAATGACTTGGAAATCATAGAAATAATAACTGATATCTACATCAATTAATATTCTCATTTTTTGCACCTCATCTAGTGTATATAAGTGGACATCCCATAGTGAGGATGATGGTCTTTCATGAGAAGTTACATAAACATAAAAATTATATTTTTGATCACATTCAATACATACAGTAATGTACATGCTATGTCTCGAACCAAATAAGAAGTTAATAAAATCTAAAAAGTTATAAAATTTTATTTTAGCTAAGATAAATTTCATGCTTATGTATGAGACACTATCTATAAGATAAGTCACAAGCCTCCCTCAAAGTTTCAAAATCTAAACAAAAACCTTACCCATTTAAGGAATGAATAAAATCTATTCTTTTGGTCCTACCCTAATATGCATGTAATAAATATGAAAATCTTGGTGGTACACATGTAAATGTATAAGACTTGATGGGTGTGCATGTAAATGCCCCATTTTGGGGGAAAACTCAACTTCCCCTGCGGCTCGTACGTCGTCGCCACCGCTCACGGTGACCATGAGAAGCTTTCCTCTCCCAAACCTCCTTCAATCAATCACGAAGAAGTTGAAGGACGACTCCATCTTCAGCCGCAACTCCAATCCCTCCATCTCTTCGTGTAAGTTCTCCACAACAGAAAACCCTTTAAATTCCAGTTGCAGTCAGTCTATTCGATCTTCAAATTCACAAAAACCCACTTGGTGTGAAAATAGAATCCAAAACGATCATCTGGTTAACCCATTCCGCCTCTCTGAGGTCCTCTCAAAAAAGAACTGGTTTTTTGTCTTACGAACTGAGTATAATTCTGGTTTTCTGGATTCAAAATCTTTCATCAGTATATTACAGCGACAGCAAGACCCTAGTCACTCACTCAAATTCTACATCTGGGCTTTTAGTATCCGACCAGAGTTGGCGAAGGATAAGTCGGTTCAAAGAGCACTTTCTGATATTTTTTGGAGGAAGGGCCCTGTGGTTTTGTCTATTGAGCTAATGAAGGAGATTAGAGATTCTGGGCTTCGAATTACAGGGGATCTGCTATGCATTCTTATTGTAAGTTGGGGTAGATTAGGGCTTGCAAAATATGCAAACGAAGTGTTTGGACAAATACACCACCTTAGCCTTAAACCAAGTACCAGAATTTACAATTCTGTGATCTATGCATTGGTTAAGGCGAATGCCCTTGATCTCGCCTACTTGAAATTCCAACAAATGGCATCTGATAACTGCTATCCCGATCAATTTACATACAATGCCCTTATCCATGGTTTGTGCAAGTCAGGGATAGTTGAGGAGGCACTCAGATTGGTGAGGAAAATGCAGAATTTTGAGACAACAGTAAATGTGTTCACTTACACAATGCTGGTTGATGGGTTTTGTAATGCAAAGAAGGTTGATGAGGCATTTAGGGTTTTGGATATGATGAAGAATAGGATGGTTGTTCCTAATGATGCTACATTTCGGTCATTGATCCATGGAGTCTTTCGATGTTTAAAACCAATCAGTGCTTACGAGAAATTGAGTGAGTTCCTAGAAAAATATTGTGTTCTCCATGTAAATGCTTGTAGCACAATGTTATATTGCCTTTCGAAGGCTAATATGGCCACAGAAGCTACTAATTTTATTGAGAGAATGGGAAAGAAAGGTTTTGTTTTGGATACTTCTACATTCAGCCTTGTTATGGCTTGCATGGTTAGGGTGTTGCAACTAGCTGAAGCCTGTAGGTTTTTTGATGATTTTGTTCGTAAGGGAGGTAAACCAGGTTTTAATACATACCTTTTGCTTATTGAACATTTATTGAAGGATGGAAAAGTTGTGGAATCAAGGAGATATCTGAAAAGTATGGTCATGGATAATATTTTATGTAGTATTCAATCATATAACATGTTGATTGATTTATTTATCAAAGCTGAAATGAGGGAGGAGGCATTGAAATTTTTTTATGAAATGCCACATATGGGTTTTTATCCGAATCTAATAACATTCAACACACTTATCAGTGGTTATTCTCGTGTTGGAAATATAAATATGGCAAAAAATCTTTTGAAGATGCTCTTAGAACATGGATTCAAGCCTGATGTTTTCACATTCAGCTCCATGATAGATGGTCTTTGTAGAGCCCACCAACTTGATGATGCTTTTGATTGCTTTAATGAGATGGTAGAATGGGGTGTTACACCAAATGCGGTAACTTATAATATACTGATTAGATCGCTCTGTGCTGTAGGGGATGCTCGCAGATCAATGAAGTTGTTCTTAAAGATGAAAGCCGAAGGTATTATACCAGATGTTTTCTCATTCAATTCTCTCATCACAAGCTTTTGTAAGATGAATAGGATTGATAAAGCACGGAACCTTTTTTATTCGATGGTGAGATTTGGTGTAGTTCCAGATACATATACATATAATGCTTTTATAAAAGCTTTATGTGATGAAACGAGAATTGATGAAGCCAAAGAGGTTGTATTGGTGATGAGGACCAATGGTTGTAATGCAAATGAATATTCTTATAAATGCATTATAGATGCAATTTATCGAAAAGGCTGTTTGGAGGAAGCTCATGAATTGTTTCGTCACTGTGAAAGCATAGGTGTTTATATTTCTGATCCTATTGTTAGATTTGGTACTCAAATTATTGGCACAGAAGAGAAGAGTAAATTAAGTGCATTACAAAAGTGAAAACTATGTTAATGTATTGATCATTGTATTGCATTGATCCACTTTACCTTGGATTTATCTTGGTGGTTGCATCAGAGAAAGTTGTCCATGGAATCAGCAACAACCGGGCAATCAGAATATTCCAAACTTTTTATGATCAATCTGATACAAAATGGCACTCTCAGTCATAGTTTTGGCTGTGGATCTAGCAGAGGCAAAATTGATTATTTATAGCTTTATCCCAGCACATTTTATGGCCTATATGTGCTCCTGCATCCATGGATCACTACTGAAAAATATCTTTGTTCTGGCTCAAGTTTTTATGATTCTTTGATGGAGCTACCCACAATTCATGTTCAAAGTGGGGCATCATTTGGAGGTATTTCTTATTTACTGTTAAAAAAAATCATTAATGTTTGTTGCTAGTACAATTTTTTGTTACTCCATGAAGTTTAGTGCTATTTCACTTTCATGTTTTATTACATTAACTATTACGTAAAATAATTAAACTAATGGAAGTGCTTCACAATTTAAACAAGGAAAGAAGAGTTACACTCAAAATAAAACCCAAAATGGGGTTATTCTGCGAGTAGGATAACCTATCAAATATTGCCTAATGAAACAATGTTTGAAACTCTTCCACATTTTTATTTGCTTGCTCAAAGTGGTAATTTTACTTTTTCAACAAACTGTACAAACACCAAGAATTATTGACTAAGCCAATTTTAGCAATTCCGCACATGGGTCTTATATGGGTAGATATCATTGGCTTATGTTTATGCCCTTATAAGAACCAAGGAAACATAGCATAAGTTCATTGTCACTAGGCTTCCATGATCTTCATGAACCACATAAATATTAAAGTCTAAAAAGATGCAAGCTCAACCCTCAAATCATTGTAGTTAACTTCCTGCAATATTGCTGAGCTCTTTAATTACCTTTAGGTTATTTGGTGATACAAATTGAACTTGGTGCTAATTGTAGCTTTTTATTCGATGGGCTTAAGGTTTAAATCTTGGTGTTAGGAGGATTGTTGAAATCTTCAAAATTCCATGATTTGGATATCTTATTTAGTTGTAATTTTGAATTTGTTAACTCGATCTGCAATTTGAAGAGAGAAGATTCACATTAATGTCTTGGGATTCATTGCAAGTCAAGAAATTATTGTACTTGCTAAAACATCCCTTGTCACTCAAAAGTCTAACAGGAGAACACCCTCTGGAGGCTACTAATGAACCAAGCGTTCGATAAGCTGCTCGTGACTTGACTTGATTAAAGCTTGTTCACTACCATTGATTAACTAATCAAATAAGTTTGAATATATTTATAAATTCTCTGTTGTTAAATAAATAAACTTAAATTATGTTCATAGAAAATATTATAGAAACTCATTTAAAGTTTGATATGAGTTTTGATAAACACTCAATGCTAGAAAAGATGTACGTCGAAGAAGCGACATGTGAACAAACCAAGCTTGATAATATTTGGCTTGATAAAGTAGGACTCTTTTGTTAAGTTTCGTCAAACAAATTCCCATTTGCTAGGCTCAATAAGCTTGCTTTGATATGACTTGTTGATGCTTTTTTTTTTAAATGAGTCGCTTCTTTAAAGCTCTTTAATTTCAATATGAACAAGCTCAAACAAACTTTTGATAAATGAACTTGAACTTGAACATCATCACAAAAGCTCAAATCGATGAGCTATAAATACAAAGTATGCAGGAGCCATGAGCATGTCTTGTATGAGCTGCCAAATGAAGATGGCGACTCTATCAAATGGATGTTGCAATGATCTATAAATCTTTGAGGTATAACTTTATAGGTATCGAGATAAGTGTTGCTTACTTTTCCTTCTTTGCTTCCTAATCTACAAATTCAATATAAGAATAGCTTATTATTTCATCTCATCTCAGTGTGATCCACTTCAGCCAACGCCTTAACCATACTCATCTTCTATAGAATTAATGACGCGGTCCTCACAACCCAAGTGCTCCGGGCAACTCATAGCTGTGTTTATTAGCATGGCAAGTTTCCCAACATTATTCTTGATGATCATTTATTCATGTCTTTTATTGGATTGGTATAATAGGCTCACACTTCCATTCAACCCCCGTCATGGGAAGTTTTGTGAAGTCTATTTATACAAATCCTAATTTGGATAAATTTTTTCTTTGTACGTTTGACATGTTGTAAAAGATCAATTGAAATGCTTGTTGCCGATCTACACTTTGGACTTATTTATGAACTACTTATTATTTTCTCTTAGAGATTGCCCAAGAATAAAAACATGCAAAGTTGAATTATGGAGGTAAAACATAGTTCTTCCGCAATTTCTCAGCCTTAAAAAGAATTAAAAAGGTTTCGAAATGCCACGAGCATGTGCATAACATGCCAACTTGAGAGCAAGTGCAATTACATTGGTAAACATACGTAATTATACTTCAAAAGCCTAAAATGGTTAAGAGAAGTCTTTCCTTGAGAAAAAAAACCTTAGTAATTTATAGATATGCATTCCATGGCATAGTTGTGTCCCTATAAAAAAATTTAGAAGCACATAATCACATGGATTCATGTCCATAATTATGTGAAACTGTTGTTATGCATATTTCATATTTAGTGGTGTTGGTTTGCAAAAAATTGTAGGTGCATGTAACTTTTATGTTAAATTCTTCTTTCTCCCCCCTCTTTACAATGAATATATTAGATATTTAAACTCCAATTTCTTTCCTAATCAATTATGAAAAGAAAATTATGCTCTTTTGGGCTCATAGCTTTCAAGATAAGGGTCTGTTTGGGGCAAATGCAGTTATTTGAAGAAAAAAGCTGTGAAGCTGCTGCAGAAGAAACAGTTTTTCAAAAAACTGCATTGACTATTACAATTTTATTTTATTCTCAAAAAGTCAGACCGCAGCTTTCTGGCTGCACTACACTTTAACAACTCGAGTTGAAAAATAGTTTTATACCATGTAAATTTTGAAAGCAGTAAGAAGCGATTCCCCAAATAGAACTGTGATGGTGGTCTGAAAAGCAAAACGAACAGAAAGTTCTCTGTTGTTGAAGAGATTTTATCGCATAAGTTGGAGTTATCATTGTCCATTGTTGTTGAAGAGATTTTAAATTTGTTACTCAAAGTTTTTTGCACGACTTATAATCATATGAACTTTAAGCTATCACAAGTTTTATTAAAACTTTCATGTTATTTTTTTATGCACCTGTCTTTTTTAATGCGCTTTCTATCAATTTTCCAATATGATCACATTGTCTAGGTTAATCTCTCATTATTAAATTTTCATTAGTTGCCACTTTCAAGAGATTAATATATTTCTTTCTCAATATTTTCACCATACATCTAGTTTAATATTCAGTCACATTTAACAGAATCATTAGTGAATTATTATCTCATAATGCTGTAAAGGCTGGTAAAAAAAGAAATTTAATTTAATCAAATTAATGCTAGTCAGGAAACGGAGGGAAGGCCAACGAGATCCATTCGACCATGAGATGGAAATGAGAGAGCAAGATAGGGAGAGATGGTGAGTGATAAGTGCGGTGCATTTGCATGAGTGACGTGCAATGATGAGAGAGTTAATGCGCTGATCAAACGACAAGTGGCATTGGTCGAGCAAGTTTGTGATGCCAACATGTGTTGAGTACTCCCAACAGTGAAGTAGACATGCTTGGCATGTTGGATAGTGCCAAGCAAATGTACACGTCGAGTGTTAGGGGAGGTTATAAATACAAGATGGAGATGAACCGAACAACAGGGAAGCGAGGGGGGTAAGTTAAACAAACAAGTAAGGGTAAACAAACTATGTAGACAAATAGAATGAAATTTTGGAGGATATTGAACCATAAGCATCTTGTTTTTATCTTACAATTTAGAATTAAATTATTTTAGGGTGAAGTTTTGTTTATATATAACCTTTTATTGTTATGAACTTTTATGTTAGAAATTTAAAGTTACAAATTTGAAATGTAATAAAGATACAAACGATCAAATTGGTTGCCGGTAGTGCAAAGGAAGAAAGAGGAAAATTGAGGTATGCAATAATTTTGAAAAAAATTAAATTAAGGTGAATTAGTAATAGATCGAATGCTATTGTTTATAAATAACATCTTTAATTTTATGAGTGTGAGTAGGTGAAATTGACAAAAAAATGTTTTAAGTTGTGGAGAAGAAGGAGAGTGAAACCTGTGAAGGAACTTTAGCAAAATAATCAAGGTATGGATTTATCAATTTTGTTTAATACTACTAATTTAGTTATATATATATATATATATAATTTATTATTGATAATGTATAATTAAGATCCCAAATTAATTTTAAAAAAATGAAAGTTACACAAATGTAATTGCTGCATTTTTAACAAAATTATTTCAATTATAAGCTTATTATCATGCTTGGTTGTAGATTAAATTAAGATCGAAGTGAAAGTAGAATTTCAAAGAAATGAAAGTCAATAAATTTCATTAAAGGTTAACTTTATAAGTTAAAAATGAGGTAAGTAATTGTATTTTACTTTGTGTTGGTTATGGCTCTTTTAATTTAAATGCATTACTTGACTTTTATTATCTTTTTTAGAATCATGTTTGAAATGTTTAGATATATCATTAATTAATTAAATTAATTAAATATCTATTTCATTATAATCGCATAAGGTTTATAATGAATTTTAAATTGTTTCATATATTTCATTTATATTGAAAATTTAAAATATGATTCAAATGAGTAAAAGAAAGGTTATGATAATCAAGTGAAATGAATGTACAAGTCAATTCAAGGAATCACTCATTAATGGTATTATACCCACTCATATAAAAGTAGAAAATAATTGAAAAGGAAACAGAAATGAGTGTATCTTAAATGGTACAATATTGGACTCCTAAAATGACTTTTTAAATGAAATATAAATATACATGGTTGAAAATTTCTAATTAAATGAAATGTTACTTTGTAAGCATCTTGACCTACATTCATATAGCATGTATGCAAAAAATTAGTATAATGTATAATTCTAATTATTCACTAAGTTATTATAAAATTTAAGTTGTTGCTTAAATGCTTATTACAACAAAAACTCCTTTAAATTGAATGACTAATATGAGAGAATTTGCTTAAAAAGGAGAGGAGCAAATGCAATTATGCACCAAAAATCAATATTGTATCCTGTATAAGGTTTCTTTACTACTTGTTGTCACAAACTTGATTTGTTATATATGTGAGTTGGATGCAAATTAGAAATATTGATATTTAGTGGTTCTTATTTTTTGGATGTTTTTTTTCTTTATTTTTTGGATGTTATGTTTCAACTGTCCGAACCAAATTTTCTCAGATTTCCACTCCCCTTTAAGTTGGGTCGTATATACTGTAGAGACCGAGCTTGTTATTAAACTTTGAGGTGTTGAAAAGAGGAGCTTTAGTGAAGACATCAACAACTTGTTGGTGTGTCGAGATATAGCTTAGGTGTATAAGTCTCCCATTGATCTTTTTAGAGATGAAGTGTTTATCAATTTCAATATGCTTAGTCCTGTCATGATACACAAAATTCATTGCAATACTGATAGTTGTTTGATTTTCACAAAGATTTGTATAGGCTTATTACAAGAACATCTCAGTTTCCTTAATAATTTATAAATCCAGATCCCTTCACAGATCTTTATGGCAAGTGCTCTATAGTTTGCACTGCTTCTCGAAACAACAATTTGCTTTTTTACTTCTCCATGTAACTAGATTTCCCCATACATATGAGCAATAACTTATGATGGATCTTCTTTCAGTTAGTTTTCTAGTATCATTGTATACCTCTACTTCTCTATTTTTAATTTCTTAAAAAATTAATCCATAACCAAGTTTTTTCTTGAGAAACTTCAAAATCCCATAAACCCTCTCCAAATAATCTTCATTTGGGCTATTCATGTGTTGGCTCCAAATAATGACAAAATATCCAACTGGGGTGGAAAAGCCATACATATGAGCAATATCCAAATTGTTCTTAGTGTGATCATTAATAAATGTTACAAATCATCTGTGCTCGTTAATTATTTTTTATTTTGAAGGTTTCCAAATGTCAATATGAATGATAAAGAAATGATGTGCGGGTTTGTACTGAGACAGAGGATATACATGATGAGTATGTTTAACCAATTGACAGATTTCACACTGATAAAACTCTAATATTTTATTAATAAAGAGTTGCGGGTATAATTTTGCAATATAATAAAAATTGGAATGACTCAGATGATTGTATCATATTGAAACTTGACTTTCAACAGACTCAGAATCATGAGAAAAGAATAGTAGCGATGACACTTGTGTGTTAAGAGAATACTTCTTCTTAAGCAAGTATAGACTTTGATGCAATTCAACACTGTCAATCAGCTTTCCAAATCCACCACATGAAATTCACAAAAGTTAGAATCAAACTTACTAACCCGGCTCAGATCATGAGTGATCGTGCTAATTGAAAGTATGTTGCAATCTAGTTGGGAAACATATAGCACTGAATAAAACTGAATTTCTTTAGATTTTCACATCTCTTTTCCCAACAATTTTGGAGTGAGATCCATTTACAAGTCTAACAAATTTGGGGTTAGTGATATCCTGGTTGTTGATGAGAGCATGAATGTCTTTATTCATGTGATTAGAAGCACTTGAATCTATTATCCACGGTCGAATTCCTTCATTATTAGCAAGATATGAGGATATGATATCTTAGTATATTATTAAGCTAATAGACTCCGGAGTAGAAGTAGACACCCTCAATAAATCCTATGCACGTTTAAGGCTAGAAGAATATCTAGCTGCTAAAAGCTATCGAAGTGGAGAAACTTATGGGAGGAAAAAGCTATTGGCGGTTGCTGGCTAGTCGCTACCTGTGGCCGCCATGCTCGCTCAGGAAGAAGCAACTGGGTTGGCGGCAGGAAGGCTGGCTGCTACTTATGGCTAGAAAGCAGTGGAGATAAAAAGTTTGTAGGAAATCCAGAACAAAGAGGGAGCAGGAGCAGGATTGGCTTGTTGCTGCAAGGTGGAATCTCTTGAGCAGGTGGAACCCACTGCTCCTGCAAGATGGGAACAACAGAGAGAGGAGAAGGAATTTTATTGTGCAAGGTGGAATCTACTGCTCCCTGCAAGGTGGAATTTGGGTTGTTGCTTCTTGTGTTGTATTTGATGCAGGATTTTAGCCATTGCTCTCCTTGTTGCGGTATGTTGGACAGTCGACTGGATAAGCTGGGAAGGATCAACTGGTAGGTAAAGGCAAGGTCCACTGCTACGACCCTGCAGGGAAACATCGTGAGAAGAAAGAGGAGCTGAGAGGGCCTGCAGGGAGACTTCTTGGGCTGCCTGCTACAGAGAGAAGCTCCTGCGGAGGGCCTAATATTGACAAGAAAATGTTGTTGTTGCTGTGTTTGTTGTCCTTGCTACTGCAGGAAATGGATGTTGGGGCAGAACTAAAATAGAATTGAATAGTGCGGCTATCAGGAGGATTTCGAAGAGGGCTTGCAACCTGCAGGAAGAGTGTTGACTGTAGAGAAGAAGAGAATTTCGGCGGCCAACAAGGGTTTTGACAATAGAGGAAGGGCCTGTAGATCGGCCGCTGGGATTTCGGTGGCTGTTGGAGGAGTTTCAGTTGCTGAAAGAGGTTTATTTCTGAGCACTGATACTATGAAGAATTTATCTTGGGAGGAAAAATATCTCTTAAATTATTCACCAATAGGGTGCATATATATAGGGAAATGAACCCCTCCTTATTTACAAACTTATTAAACATATATCACATAAATTAGTAAATAAAATAATTCTGAATAAAAAAGTAAAAAATAGAAAAATAAAAAATAGGAAGGAAGTAAACTAATCAAATGTTTCCTCAGATATTTCAATCAGATACTCCAAAATTTAGAGGTGGTGGTCGGCCCATATAAAAGGTAAATAAGGATAGAATTAAATCTTCTCAGATTTACTCAATAAACATAAGTGCAATTACTATAATTCTGAAAATTGTTGCAATATTTCCTCGCATTGCAACTACTTTCATCGTTGTTGAGTTTAGAAGCTACATTTTTTGATCTCTCACAATGGTTGTTACTATCAGGAAATGACAAATTTATCTACTACCAATGCTACTGTTTGATTTTTTTTTAACCACAACAAATAAAGTGGATTCAATAGTTTAATTTATTTATATTTTTTATTTTAACTTTAAGAGTGCGTTTGTTTCAGCTGTGACTATATAAAATCTTAATTTAAAAGTTGTGGAAAATCTACTGTTTAAAAGCTGAATTTTTAGAATATGTTGTTCTGTTTGAATAATTTAGTTTTAAAAGTGTTTTTTTTAAAATATAAATACCCATCTGATCATATTATTTATAATTTTTATATGTATGTATGTATGTATTTATGCATATCGATAAGATTGAGGGTGAGCTTTTTGTTGACAATCTTTTGTTGACAATCATGGCTTTGCTGGTAATATTAATCTTGGCAGGAGTAAAATTTGGCAGGAGTAAAATTGTTGGTCCATATGGTTATACTGCTGCTGGTAATATTAATCTTGGCAGGAGTAAAATTGTTGGGTCCATATGGTTATACTGCTGCTTTTTACAAATGTTGTTGAGAAGTGGTTAAAAATGATGTTGATTTTGGCTATTCAGGATTTTTTTAAGGGTATTGATTTGCCTAAATACTTTAAATCCACTAATTGGGTTTTAATTCCTAAGAATAAGGATGGTATGCATTGGGATGTCATCAGGTCTATTAGTCTTAATTATATTATCTCTAAAATTGTTTCTAATATTGCGGTTTTTTGAAATTCAACCTTATCTTCACCTTCTTATATGTAAACAACAATCTAGCTTTGTTAAAGGCAAGTAGGTTGGTGAAAATGCTTTGATTGCCTAAGAATTGGTGTTTGATTTGGAGAAAAATGGGAGAGATGGTAATCTCAATTTCAAAATGGATTTTAGAAAGACATATAATACTTTAAGGTGAGAATTTCTTTTGGATGTCTTTAAAGCTAGAGGTTTTAATAATGCCTCTTGTTTTCTTATCAAAAAAATCATGGAAAACAATTACTATTCCATTTTGATAAATGGAAACAAGTGTGGTTGTTTCAAATTCTTTAGAGGCATAAAGAAAGTTGACCCGCTTTCACCTATTATTTTTATTGTTTTCTTTTATTATCTTTCAAGATATCTTAATATACTGTTCAGCAAATATCCTAGTATGTATTATGCTGATAAAGCTAATGTTGGGATTTTCCATCTTGCCTATGCTAATGATCTTGTGATATTCTCTAATTTTAATAAAAAGTCTATTAAAAGGCTTTGGAAGGCGCTGTAACATTTTCAAGAGGCTTATGGATTAGTGTTTAATTCTAGTAAGTGTTGTTTCTATTATGACGAAAAACTAGATTCATGATTATACTAATTGTGTTAAAGGTGACCTTTCCATCCTTTATTTGGGTTTCAAATTGGATAAAGGAAAAAGGAGAAGTCATCTTTTTGACAATCTCATTGATAAGATTAATAAGAGGATTTTATGTATTGGGACAATATTTTTCTTTCCTTTGGAGGCGAAGTAACTCTTTTGAAAGGCATGCTTACTTCTACTCCTCTTTATACTTTACTGTTTTTGAAGATTCCTTCCAGTATGTGCATTGGGTTGGTAATGATCATAGAATCCACTGGACGAGTTGGTTTAAACTTTGTAAACAAATTAAAACAGGTGGATTGGGTTTTAGAAGCATCAAGGTTTTTATAAAGATTAGTTTTATGAAATTGTGGTTCTAATTTAGAGTTGTTAATTCATTGTGGGCTCAAATGATGAGAAATAAATAAAGTGTTGACTGTCATCCTCTCTCTGTTACTATTAATATGGCTGATTCTTTTGTTTGGAAGGAAATGATGAAAGTTTCTAAAGAAACTAAAAGGTTTTGTTGGGATATTGGGGAAGACAACTGCAGTTTTTGGGATGCTGGAGTACTTGTTTTGACTGATCAATGCGAGGTCCTTATAATGTTAATGTGGTTGTTAGGGATTGCTGGGTTAATGGCGGTTGGGATGCTGGAGTACTTGTGATTTGGTAAGCAATTCAGATGCTTATTTGACTGCAAGTGTTCCCATTTTTAATGTTGTTAAGAAAGTTAAAATTAAAGGTCATTCTGGTGATTCTATTTCTAAGTCTTTTGCAAGTTCTTTTCAGTATAATGGTAGGCTTGATTTACATTGGGCATGGAATTCCTGGATCAAACATTCTCAGTCTTTTTGTCTTTTCGAGGTTGCTTCATCATGTTATTCCTAATGATGATATTTTTTAAGCTTAAATGTTTAAGGCTGCCTTCTTGTTGTCTTTGTGTAGACAACATGAGAAAGAGATGGAACATATTTTCATTAAGTGCTTTTTGCTAGAGGTTTGGAAAAAATGTTTTCAATTTTTTGACATGAAGATGGTACTAGTTTTTGCTCATTCTATTGTTGGTTCTATTAATGCGTGGAAGAAGATTGGTGGAGATTTATTTGCTTCTATTCCTATTATAGTTTTTTGGTTCATATGGATGATGAGAAATGAGGCGAAGCATCATGATAAAGTGCTAGATAGTTTCTATTCTTTTCGACTTATTATTAACTTTGTTTTTAAAATTCTTAAGTTCATGAGTTTTAAAAAGCCTATTAATAAGTTAGTCTTGAAGATTTTTCACAAGTTTAATATTTTTGTGCCTATGAAGCTTAATTCTAATATTGCTTTGGTTTTTTGGAGGAAACCACGATATGGTATTTTCAAATTCAATGCGAGTTGGAATTCTCACTCGACAGGTATTGGTGGTATGTGCAGAAATTAGGAAATTGTGATTCCTGTTTCTCCTATTGTTGCAGAAGCTGAGGCTATTATTAAGGCCTTATCCCTTGCTAAAACTGTGGTTGGAGCAGAATTATTGTGGAAATGGATTCTTTGCTTTTGTGGAAGTTGTGTAATTTACAAACGGATTACCCTTGGATCCTTATTGTGCATATGCAGAAAATTTTTGTTTTACAGCCTTTTTTACAAGTTGCTTGGTCTTCTACTCCTAGAGAAGTTACTAAGGTGGCAAATTGGGCTTCCATATGGAAGTCTTATTCCAGGTAATCTCTGGTAATAACTTGGTGCCAATTGAGATGTCTCGGCTTATCATTGGTGACTGTTTAGATATTCCTTTTATTAGAGTTAATCCTTGTTTCTTTTGATTGGTGTGAGTTGTACTTTGGTGGACGGTTCTTAGGTTTTTTTTTTATTTTTCTTGAGTGAGTTGTATTTCCTTTTCTTTTGGATTTAATAAAATTTTCTGTCAACCCCTTGAAATTTCTTTTTTGCAATAAAATTTCCCGCGGGATTATATATATATATATATAGAGACCACATTTATTTACATTTGAAATCCTATGCAATTTTTTATATTTTAATATGATTTATTATAAATAATTTAAACAACAAATATGGTCCATATATCTCTCTGCATATATTTTACCCCTACTTAATATGATTATAATAAATATGTCTTCATGATTATAATAAATGCATATTTCTTACCTTTGTTAACTATAACGACAGATGCAAAAGGGGTAAACCTTGGAAATAAGAAATTGGAATGATGGGAAGCACTCCAAAAGGCGCGTTTGCATTTTTATTGGAAATTACAATGCACTTTAAAGCTGGACTTGTAAAACGTGCATTCAAGCGCCTCAAAAATCTTTTCTGAACCGAACGTGGGCCAAAAAACCCAACCAAACGCAACCTAAATGTAATATTTTAATGTATACTATAGCTTTGATCCAATGGTACTAGATCACTTTCTTTCTCTTCCTCTAATCGTAAACCCCATCCTTCACGTTGTGCTTACTTTTCTCTTTGCTTTGGTTTAGCTACCATCTTCCTCTCCCCCTTACTATAACAATTCCCAACTTGACATGTATCTTTCTTTTCCTACTCTTCTTCCTCAAAACCACAACTCTCACTCGTTGTTTCCTTCAGCCATTCTTTGATTACCCAACTGCTTGCTTCTCTCCCTCATTGGAGCAGTACCTACCCAGGATGCTTGGGTTTCTACAGTCATGGCCTTTTTTTAGTGATTGTAGTCACCTCCTCGGTCAACAACATCACCTGTGATGTTGTTGAAAAGGTATTTAAGTATCCACTAATTAGTCAGGTTAGACTTTTATAATAGAATGAGGTTCATGTTATTAGAAGGAAGATTAATATTTGTGATGCAAGATTACAAATAAGAAAAGAAAGCAGAAGAATGGAAATCTTACTGTTGAATTAAATAGTTGTTTCGATGTGATCCCCCATGCTATAGTGGATTCTTATAAAAATTATAATCCCCGGTTCAAAAAAAATGAAACCTCATATATTTCATGTAAATACATCCCTTTAAGTTCACATGGAGATATAATAGAGTGAGCAATACTAACAATAGGTTACACGACTTATAATTAAATCAAATACATAAAAAAGAGCAATGTGTGTTTGAGTGGGAGCGAAAATTCTTCGAAGAACCTTCTTCTGTTTAATGTTGGCTTCTAATTAGCAATTCATGTGTTTTGATTAAATCAATTGTTGTTCGTCTATCCACATCCAATGAAAAAAGTATTTAATTCTACATTGATAATTTATTAAATCTCGAAACTAGTAATTTGTATAGAATAGCACCCATAAATATGTAAACCTTCTACAACATTTAACAATAAATAAGATGATCCAAGTTTTCTTCTCACCTGACTCTTACTTATGAATAAAAAAGATATCATCACCTTCATGAAATTTTCAAGCACTTTGATGAGTTATGGTAATATTTTATATTTGTCATCTTGCTTAGCCATGTGTGATCTTTTATCAGTATACATGCCCAACAAAGGTTGTTAAAAATGGTTATGATGCATGCTTTGACAATATTGTGAGATCCATAGTCTTTTAAGGAGGAATGCCTTAAACAACTTCTGAAGGAGAATGACTAATAGTATGGTTCATAGTATTGTAGGAAAACTCAACAATAGGTAGCACTACCCTTAAGTGTGAATGGAATAGGTTAAGACTTATATTTGACGATTTGCAGGAAAGACTCGTGAAAATTTCAAGGATGCCTATAATATTTTCTATGAATGTCCCTTTAATTCGGGCATCTAGATCATAAATAGTCTATTATGGAAGATAATGCAAATGAACGATCACTTAGAAGAGGTGCTACGGGTGAATTGTCGATCATTACATGTCAATATAAGAAATGAACTATTTTTTTGAACCGATCAATCAAGATGCAGATAAAATCTTAATATTAAGTTGTTTAGAGATTTCGATTATTTTTGCAATAAATATTAATGAGAAACTATTATGAAAGTGCTGTTGGGATCATTTATTATTATTGTTTTTAATTTTTGTTATATTTTTACATGAAGTTTAACATATTTGATATGTTATTTAATTATTTTTAAAATACTTAAAATAACTTTTAAATGTTTTGAATATTTTTAAAAAGAAGTTATTTTTTTAAATAATAATAATAATATGAAAAAATATGTTAAATAATTATATTTTTAAAATAAAAACAAAAACAAACAAAATAGAAAATAGAAAACTGAAGTGATCCCAAAGAAGCCCTTCATAGCCGAAAATGAAGAATAACATAAAATTCTATTTTCATGGCAGTTCAGTCAATGCTGATATTATTGAAAAGATTCTTCATGAGGTTATCTCAAAGGCGCAACTGGCAAAACTGATGTAATCAATTGTGTGAATAAGATAATTTATCTCATCGTTATTTATAAAATTAGAATATTGGTTTCATGTTTTCCACAATTAATTTTTTTTAGTTTGTAGGAAACAACATTCAAAAATTTCAATATTTAAAATATAAAATGCCCAAAATATACAAGGGGATGTTTAGAAGAGTATTTAACTTTTAAAAATATGTACTATTATATTCTAAATTTGTTTTCATATAGGAGGATGTTTAGAAAAGTTTGATTCTCTCTGAAAAGTCGACACCATATCTGACTAATCGGAAAAAATATTAGGTCATGACTCCAGATGCATCCGGAGTCCAATAGTGGGGCGCCACGTGTCAAGTGGGCCCCACAAATTTTAACACTGACCAATCTTAGTGTATTGCGGTAGGCTTACTTGAAACGTGACACCCTACCGTTGGACTCTGGACGCAAATTGCGTCGGGAGTCCGGAGGTAATATTTGCTCAACTAATCGAGTATCTAGCCTCAGTTATCTCTAACTACTTCTCAGTTGTTGTCGCCTTCTTCTTTGTGGCCTTTGCCAAGCATCAGAGGTATATGCCTTATCCTCGTCGGTAACCAATTTCCCATCTGCTCATTCAAGAGCCATCAACTGATAATGTGAAACCTCTCAAGCCATCAATTGATAATGTGAAACCTCTCAAGCCATCAAGTGATACTGATCAACCGTCGGATAAAGCTCTGTATGGTCAAGTTTCCTCAGGGACCTCTCAAAAGAATAAGAACAAATGACCCTAACAATGATCGAAGGTTAGTCTACTGCCACCGGAGAGCAAGAATGTCAATCCATCTTTGTGTTAACCATGACGTACCGCTTCTCAGAGCTAGTCAACACCTTTGACTCCTTTTCTTGTGAAGGAATCCACTAGAGTGGGGAACCCCTCCACTTCTTCTAGGAAGGAGGAAGTGGGAAGTTACGACTGGAAACGGGGAATTTCCCCTCTCGGCGAGGTACCTACACTTCTTAAGATGCTAACCCAGTTTCATGGTCAGGATCAGATCCACTCTCGGTCAATGTAATAGGAGGTGGTCGGATGGCTTCACCCCTTATTTGCAAATTGATAAAGAATGGGTCAGTCGGCTGAGGCATAGCTGACCCTATCTCTGCTCTTTCCACTGAAGCCTCCCCATCAACACTGCTTGATGCCAACACACTCAGTTTCCTAATGTCTTTTTCATGACTCTCTTCTGAAGTGGCCACAAAAGATGGAGATTGCTTAGCGTTCCTCTCAACAATGGTTTATTCGTTGGTATAAATTTTTTGAACAATAAAAATAGTTTCAGAAACATAAACAACAAATTTTCTACTTTTGGTATTAGCTCCGGTGCGAACAATCCTGGATATCAGTTGACCAGCAACTACTGCGACTTTAAGGCAGGCAACCTTCCCTTGTGGCCTCTTCTCAGTGGCCCGAACAATAGCCAATTTCTCTCTTGCAATTTCTTGGGCATCCAAGGCCCCCTATAGAACTCCTCTTTCATTGACCCAAACTTCTCTGACCACAATACTCAATTGAGAATATGCGGTTCTAGGTACTTAAAGGTCGACAATTGCTGACTCTTGATTTTTACTCCACGGGCACTAAGATGACTCAGCATAGACTTCACCTTCTTAACACCACCTCCCGTTATGAGGACATAGATTCCGCAGCCACAAAAAGAACAGCTTACCGAGAAGCACATCTTCCAATTCTAATATTGTCATCAAATCCCAACAGCTGGCCAATAACTAGACATCCATCCCTGTCAACTTGAAATGTGAATATATAAATGAAGAGGTTTTTTGACCATGAGATCTCATTCGCCTACAAAATATCACATGGGTTATGATGGACGCAATGGAATTCAACAAGACTTGAGCTGAAATCACCCCATAACAATTGCAATTCACCCAAAGTTCTTGGCAAAGTGGCAACTGCAAATCCTACTTGAATTGGCCCCTATAGAACACGAGATTGTCCTAATGAGATCTGGAGATAACTTTGGAGCCATTCGAACAAAGCACGGAGAGAATAAGCTTGGAAGAGTGAAAGAGAGCAAACGAAAATAAGAAGGTATTGTTGCTTTAAGCAAAAATCCATCACCCCTATTTATATGATGAGGAGTTGAGTCGTCAAAGGGGAAAGAGCAAAATTACTCTATTTTAAAACTATGCTGACAAAAAAATCACTTCGACACATAATTTGAGACAAAAAATTAAATTTTATTTCAAAAATTGAAAATAACAAATGTCTTTCTGCAGCTTATCCGAGATGAAAAGGGTGTTACTCGTCATTGTAAATAAGACATTCTTGCTGGAGCAGCCTCTTGTACAAGACATCTTCCCCTAACTTAAATCAGTATTATCTCTGCTTGAACCCAAGGCATGGAAGATGATTCTCAAATAACTAGCAGCTCCACGTGGGTGCGATTGTTTCCTTGTGAAGGGCAGTTATTTTCAGTAGCCTTTGAAATATTTGTATTTCAATGTTCATATGTACCACCAAATTCTCATCTACATACATATAGAACACCTAAACTTTACATTTTATATTATTTCACCCAAATCTTTGATATCATATAAAATGTATCACTATTTTAATTTAAAAAGTGAAACACACCTTCATGTTTATAAGATGACATATATGCAAAAATTAAAATTTAAGTTTTAGATATATAAATACATAATAATCTTATTAGGGTTTCATAAAAAGCTTGAATACAACATATTAATAAAAATTCCTAGTCTTATTACCAATCCAATAAAATTCCACAGGTTGGTGTAACCCTAATTAATTTATTAGGTTATTCCTCTAAAAGGCTAAAATAATAAATACAGTTCAACTAAACATACACATATTTATTGGAGTTTTTCAATTCAAGTAACCATACTTTAAATAAACCATGTCAATTATGAAGCATAATCATGTAAATTATTCATATTATACATAAGGCTAAAACTTACATAACAATTCAAAGAAATTCTAGTAAAAAAAAATCACATAAACAGTGCTAAACTATTAAAAAAAAAAGAAAATTTACATACATTCCACACAATATTTGGTTATTTACACATACAAGACAAAGTTTGACCCCAATAACATCGACATAACCCTCCAATACCCCTCGAATAACCATCATACGCCTGCAATCATGCATGTGTATAACATACCTAAATATTTTTCGGTGATAAGAGACGTAAAGACATAAGAATTGTGTGCTATATATGTAAATGTCCCTAAAACAGTGAATGCATATCGTTAAGTTCCAAATGTCAGTATTATAAACATAATTGCATGTACATGAGGAAAATAAAATTTGAGGACTTTTCTAACCGTCTCTTTTGAAGGAATAAGTTTTATTCATTGTTTCAAAACATACAACAATAGAACACAACCAAAGAGAAAATCATGATGTTGTCTTTGGTCATAATGAGTCTAGGACATGTTCTTTGAGAACAAGTACAGTTTTGCCAGCACAAACAAGTATAGATTATGATAAATTAGAACAATGATATAGATATTTGATTACTGAAGATATTACACATGCTAACGCAATATGTGACTCAATCATAAGACTCGATGTGTCATCGAAAATTCTCCCCAATTCATTCATGTTTATTGGATCTTTACCTTCCAAATAAATTTTCCTGAATCAGCTAATAAAGTTGTGGATGGTGCACAAGCAAGCGCAATGTCACATTACTATTTCTATATTTTAGGGGCACTTAAATACATATTACGTAATTTCTATGTATTTACATATCTAACAACTAAGCTGTCTTTTACATTCATACCATCCAAATATTTCATATCACATCAAAAATACTGATATTTTAACTTTAAGAAAATGAAATGCACCATTTCATGCTCAGTTAAGGTGACTTTTATGATATATATATATATATATATATATTGAAGTTTAGGTATTAGATATATATATACATGAGAATTAAGTGGTATGCATTTATAGCTTTCATTTTTCAATAAGACATTGACATTTGAGTTGGCCCTTCAAATTGTTTGTTCTCAAATCCATGCACTCTTCAGTCACAACATTTTGAAGTTGGGCATGTTGATGATCAAGGGGGATTTGTGCAACTAAATATCTACAAGCACCAGACCATGATATTCAGCCAAACGATACAACCACATAAACATTAACAATATAAGGAGATTTTTGTTGCAATATTATATAAGAAAACATTCTTCAATGGTTCCTTAGCATAGCAAGTAATACATGAGTAATAGAGAAAACATTGTTGTGGTGTAAAAACAATGATGCTAAATAAACTTGAGTTAGCACTTAGCACAAACCCTTAAATAAGTTACCCTTGACATAAAATCCATTAGATGAAAAATATTACACGTGTCCATATCCAAGACGTGCAATACTGTGCACGCCTATTTCTATAGATGTGTCGATGGATCACAAGTTCATATTAATGACTCATATCAACAAAATAGATAGTATCTTCCTTGCAACACTGCGAAAGCTTCTTCCTCTATAACCTATCTAAAGTACTAATGTCACCTAAATCCTTCTACTCAAGATACCACATAGACATTAACAATATAATGAGATTTTTGTTGCAATACTATATAAGAAAACATTCTTCAATAGCTTCTTAGCATAGCAAGTAATATATGAGTAATAAAGAAAACATTGTTGTGGTGTAAAAACAGTAATAAACTTGAGTAAGCACTTAATACAAACCCTTCTACTCAAGATACTACATAGACATTAACAATCTAAGGAGATTTTTGTTGCAATATTATATAAGATAACATTCTTCAATGGCTTCTTACCATAGCAAGTAATACAAGAGTGATAGAGAAAACATTGTTTTGGGGTAAAACAGTAATGCATAATAAACTTGAGTTAGCACTTAGCACAAACCTTCGAGTTAGGGTAGAATCATTCCTACAGCCATAACCTGAATGGTTGTTGCCATCACATTTCAAATAAGATATCCTTAACATCAAATCCATCATTCTAATCAAATACAAAGATGCTTACCAAATAATAGGACATATTAATGAATAAATGAAAATTATTACAACCCCCTCCCTCACCCAAATAAAAAAAACATCATCCCTTTTCAAGTACAATAAAAAATAACAAGCAAGTAAAATTTAACAAAAAATAAGTAATATGATCATCAATAACGTTTTAAAAATATTACATACAAAAAATAAACATCAATTATTTAGTAAAACACACCTATCAAATTTTAATATTTTATTATACATTTTGTCACTGTTTATAAAATTTAAATATAATTTTTAAGGACACCCGTGTGTCCGAAATTTTTTTATTATGTTCTAATTAAACACATAACAGGTGTGTACGGCAAGTGTTGGAGGTGTCACACGTGTGTTTGTATCTGACACGTGTAGTACAGTGCACGCCTATTTTTATAGAAGTGTCAGTGGATCACAAGTCCATATTAATGACTCAAATCAACAAAATAGATAGTATCTTTTTTGCAACACTTTGAATTCCTCTATAGTCTATCTAGAGTACTAATGTCACCAAGACCCTTCTACTCAAGATACCAAATAGACATTGACGATATAAGAAGATTCGTTGCAATATTCTATAAGATAACATTCTCCAATAGCTTATTACCATAGCAAGTAATACATGAGTAAAAGAGAAAATAGTGTTGTGGTGTAAAAACAGTAATGCATAATAAACTTGAGTTAGCACAAACCTTTTAAGTTAGGGAAGAATCATTCCTTCAACCAAAAACTGAATGGTTTTTGCCATCGCGTTACAAAAAGTTATCCTTGAAGACATCAAATCCATCAGTCCAATCAAAGACGGAGTAAAATGCTCATCAAACAATCGGACAAATGAATAAAATGAAAATTATTACCCCCCACCCCCGTCCCTCCCCAAGCATCATCCCTCTTCTAGTGCAATAGAAAGTAACGAGTAATTAAAATTTAACAAAAACTAAAGCAATGCGATCTTCGATAACTTTTTTAAAATATTACATACGAAAAAACATCAATTATTTAGTAAAACACAACCATCAAATTCTAATAATTTATTAACCATTTTGTCACTGTTTATAAAATTTAAAAGTAATTTTTAAAGACACATGTGCGTCCGAAATTTTTTTTATTATGTTTAGAAAACAAAACCATTAAATAACATGTGTGTATGACACGTTTTGGAGGTGTCGCACGTGTCTGTAATTGACACATGCAGTACAGTGCACGCCTCTTGTATAGAAGCGTTGGTGGATCACAAGTCCAGATTAATGACTCAAATCAACAAAATACATAGTATCTTGCTTGTGGCACTGTGAAAGCTCCTTTCTCTATAGCCTATCTAGAGCACTAATGTCACCAAGACCCTTCTACTCAAGATACAAAATAGACATTAACAGCCTAAAGAGATTTTTGTTGCAATATTATATAAGATAACATTTTTTAATGGCTACCTAACATAGCAAGTAATGAGTAATTGAAAAAACAATGTTGTGGTGTAAAAACAGTAACGCATAATAAACTTGAGTTAGCACTCAGCACAAATGTTTAAGTTAGGGTAGAATCATTCCTTCAATTATAAACTGAATGGTTGCTACCATCACATTAAAAATAAGTTATCGTCGCATCAAATCCATTAGTCCGATCAAATACAAAGAGTAAGATGCTCATGAAATAATTTGAACACCCGACCCGAATAGCCCACACACACAACCACCACCACAAAAGCATCATCCCTCTTCAAGTCAATGTTCTCTTGTTTGATATCAAAGCCAAACAATCTTCTAGTTCATGGCATTTAGGGAGAAAAAACGTGTTGTGGTAAAAAATTGCATACCCCATCAATACATACCTTAGATCCTACACTCTTCCAATCCTTCCCCATATCCCCAACCATTGTGTATCTCATGATTGAAATATTTCATCTCCAATGCAAAAAAAAAAAAACCTTCAATTCATAAATTTTAGAGGATAAAAATAGCATTATAGTAAATATTGCATACCCCAGTCACCGCCAACTTTCAACCCTACACACTCAATCTTCCTGAGAAACCCAAAACGTGGTCCAACGAGATCTACAATATGAAGCATAAGCTAATGACAATTGGTCTTACAACCAAATTCCATTGAGAGTTATAATGCTTTCTTAACTTAGCTCCGAATTTTCAAAAAATCCTACAGTAAAATTTCAAACAATAATCCTTATACTTTTTTTCCATATTTTAACACTCAATCAACCCACATAATACTGAACAAAATACCTCAAACATACATTTACTAAAACACGACCATCAAGTTGTAATATTTTATTATTTTGTCACTGTTTATAAAATTTAAAAGAAATTTCTAAAGGCACACGTGCGTTCGAAATTTTTTATTATGTTTTAATTTAACAAATAACATGTGTATGACACGTGTTGAAGGCGTCACACGTGTGTCTGTATCCAACACATGCAGTACAATGTAAGCCTATTTGTATAAAAGTGTCGGTAGATCACAAGTTCATGCTAATAATTCAAATCAACAAAATAGATAGCATCTTCCTTGCGGCGCTGTGAAAGCTCCTTTCTGTATAGCCTATCTAGAGCACTAATGTCACCAAGACCCTTCTACTCAAGATACCACATAGACAATCACAATCAAAGGAAATTTCTGTTGCAATATTATATAAGATAACATTCTTCAATGGCTTCTTAGCATAGAAAGTAATACATGAGTAATAGAAAAAACATTGTTGTGGTGTAAAAATAGTAATGCAGAATAAACTCGAGTTAGCACTTAGCACAAACCTTTAAGTTAGGGTAAAATCATTCATTCAACCATAAACGGAATGGTTGTTGCCATCACATTAGAAATAAGTTATCGTCAACATCAAATCTATTTGTCCGATCACATACAAAGAGTAAGATGCTCATCAATTAATTAAACATATTAATGAATAAAAAAAAATTATTATTCCGTTGTGGTAAAAAATTGCATACCCCATTAATCCATACCTTAGATCCTACATTCTTCCTTCCCTTACCCTGATCACCAACCATTGTGTACCTCATAATTGAAATATTTGGTCTCCAAGGCAAAAAAAAACTTCAATTCATAATTTTTAGAGGATAAAAATAGCATTATAAAAAATATTGCACTCCCCGGTCACCACCAACTTTCAACCCTACACACTCAGTCTTCCTAACAAGCTCAAATGTGGCCCAAGCACCACCCTTCTATCTACAATATGAGGCATAAGTTAATAAAACAATTGGTTTTACAACCAAATTCCATTGAGAGTTATGGTGCCTTCTTAACTTAGCCCCAAATTTTCATAAAATCTTCCGTAAAATTTTAATAAAAAATCCCTATTTTTTTCATATTTTAATATTCAATCAACCCACATAATACTGAGCAAAATCCCTCAAACATACATTTTCATTCTCTTTCCTTTTATCTTTTATTTTTAGATTTTTATTAAACATATTTTACTTAGTGAATTTGGCCGAAGCAATAATTAATAGAACTCCATAGTCTAAAAATGGATATAACGCCTTAGTCTAAAATGCAATAAATATAAAGATTAACAAGCTTTATCAAACTTTGATCTCTTTTGAAAGAGAAAATAATTTGCCAAGTTCATATTATATCCCAACAAAAAATATCAATGTAACCAGAAAATCAACGCCCTAAACACGAAGTCACTATCAACCCTTCGGCTTTACAATAATGCATATAAAATCTTAATTTTACATGCCACTCACAAATTGAAGTACAATGGAAACTAAATTACATCGTGTTTATTTAAATTTAAAAAAAAAAAGGCAACAACACAATACTGCGAGAAAAAAAAAAGATATAAAATTAGGGGCATTTACCTACATCCCACACAATTCTGTTGTATCCACATATCTAACACCTAATCTTTTCTATTTACATGCATGGCACTTAAATCTTTAATCTCACAAAGAATGAAATACATACCAAAGTGTTATAAGTATAAATATAAAATTTTAGGGGTTAGAAATGTAAATACATAAGAATTGTGTGGCATGTGTGTAATATTTCCTTAAAAATTATGCTTAAAGTTAACCTTGAACTTAAGTTTCTCAATTATTCATCGTCATTTTCCTTAAATTCTGCAACCTTTTTATTATTACAAAATGCTTAGCTAACAAAGCTAGGCGTACAAAAGAAAACTAAGATTAGATAAAAATGTACAGTACTTAAAGAGCAGCCTGCGACTTAAATTCCGTAGAATTCCCTGTACTTATTACTCCTGTATTTTAGTAATCATTTGCCGACATTTAATCTCATGAGAGTTAATAAATGTGAAAAACCTTATTAGAGAATATTGAACCTCATCCACTCCTCGTATGATTGAATTTGAATATGCATATATTTGACTAGTCAGTCAAATATATATCATTTTTACTAAAGATATCCTCTACGGTTTGTTAACTAAAAAATAAACAAATTTCGAGAACTCTTTATAATACCAACATAAACAACACAGACTTGTAATATGTTGAAAATTTTAACAAGTTTAATAAAATACAAATGCTCCAAGATTTAATGTTAGCAAAAAAAAGAAAAAAGAGAATAACCAATTTGTAAGCACCCAAATTAAAATCTGAATTAGTATTGCAGATTTTAAAGCTAAATTAATAAAACTATGACATAATCACAACACAGCATTACAAATTTTGAAAACGTGGGACAACAAGCAACTGGACAAATGACAGTCCTAAATATTTAAGGGATAAGCTGGTACGCAAGAAACATAATTACTTTAAAACCTATATGTTCACAAAGAGATGCAAATTAATAATCACACCGCTACAGAAAAAAAAAAAAGCAAGGTTTTGAAAATCAGGCCGCACATTGAACCAGAAGAAAGTAAGGTTTAAGATTCAACAGTTCAACTGAGTTTGAACCAAGGATTGAACCAGATAATGAAGCAAATTTGAAATTATTTTAACATTACTTGAACACTATAATATAGATTGCTCACCAATTTAATATATAAAATTATGATTTACAACACATTGCTCTTGAATATTTTGAATATGATTCTAAATTAAATTTTAGAGATATTATATTTTAATTATTTTTATATTTTTAATCTAGATCTTTTATTTCTAGTCAACTAATCAGCAACAACAACAACAAAGCCTTAATCCCACTACATGGGGTCGGCTACATGAATCTTTTTTCTCCATTGCGTCCTATTTAGTGTCATATTTTCATTTAGTTCTAATAAATTAAGATCATTTTTTATACAATAAGCCCAAGTCTTCCTAGGACTACATCTGCCTTAATTAACATAAGTCGAATAAACATAAGTCGAATATAAAACATCTACTCTCCTGATCGGATCATCAGATGGTCGACGTTTAATGTGACCAAACCATCTAAGACGACTTTCTCTAATTTTGTTCGTCGATGAGGCTACACCAACCCTATCACGAATATAATCATTTCACATTTTGTCTGTAAGTGTAAAGCCACTAATCCACTTAATCATTCTCATCTAGGCAACACTTAACTTAGTATTATGCTTCTCTTTTAAAGGTCAACATTCAGCGACATAGAGCATTGCAGGTCTCACTCTTATAAATTTTTTCTTTCAGTATAAGCGGTACTTTTCTAAAATTTGGTCAATACTAAAACAAAATGATTCTTTAAAATTTGGACTACTTCGCTGGTTCAACCATCAATCTAAGTGATTCTATGTGAAAGCAATTTTGATTTAAATAAAAAACATTCTAGGACTGATTCGCAATTGAGTTGGCCGCCGATCTAATGCAGTCTTTAGAACCAAGGGAAAAATTTTATATGACATAAACTTTATGGCTTTATTTCTTGGCTGAAAGAAGCTTAGGAACAACTTACAAGAAGCTCTCCATAAAAAAATATTCAATTTCAAAATATGCATACACATAACAATCTCAAAATATGCATACACATATCCATTTATACAAATCTCTGATACCAAGGTCACTATACTTCAAATTCAATCAAGTTAAAAATGGGAACAGATTGAAGGCATTCAAATTCATAAGCAAAATAAAATGAGCCAAACCTTTGCAGCTTCTACGAAGAGACCAATGTTGAAAGATTTATAATTCCAAAGGCAACAAAACTCTTGCTGAAGACCCATTCTTGTTGATAAATGCCAAAAAAATATAAAAATAAAAATAAAAACACTAAAACAACAATTACATTTGAATATGACACATTTTTAACAGCATTAAAGTTTTCATAAAGCAAACTAACGAATATAACTTAGATCTAAAAAAAGCAGAAACAAATATATGTGAGTGGAATTCTGCCACGTGATGCCCAAATAATCATGTTTTACAATCCTAAAATAATCATAAGAAAAAAAATCTTACTCGATAGTTCTTTTCTTTTTCTTTTTTCCCTCATGTTGGTTCATTTTCTTGTCCACTTTTCCTTGTACCGCATCTGAAAGCTTTCTTTTTTTCCTTTCAGTATTCATATTTTCTGAAACAAAGCCCACCCTTCCATTTTCCCGTAATTGGTACTCATTCCCCTTGTTCTCCTTCCAATGTCTCTTCTCTTCAGAATTCTTCACAGAATCCAAGGCTTCCATCTTCTTCTTGCTACTCCCGCCCATCTCCTCCTGTTGCTCGAACACTGAATTCGCTGCATGGGCTTCCACTTCATAATAATTTCCTTTCCTCTTTTTCTTCTTCGTCGTATGTCTATTATCATCATTTTTGCTGGCGCACTCTTCCTCTTCAACATGGGAGATTTTACGGTGGGCACGGATATCGCGATGTACAGCCACTAGCTCTTTAAAAGCTGTGAGAGAGCGCCTCAGGTAAGCAGTAACCTCCGGTCGTGCACCCGTATCAGAGGCGGCAAAACGGGAGAGTACTGCCGCCGCCTTCGAGAGGGAGATCGGATAAGAAGATGTTACCTCACCTGCTTTCATCTCAGATTCTCCACTGTCACGTCAAGGGTGTTTGGTAGCAGGATTTAATTTAAACCCTGACAAACGTTAAGAATCGCAAACTTCGGCAAGTGCTCTTTGGGAGTCGGATGTTGAATCCTGTCTCTCTTCTGTTTTGACTTAAATCCCGAATTTAGTAAATCCCGTTGGAGTATGGATTAGGGGAGTAAAAACATCTGGCAGGTGCAACAAAGCTGAAGCAGTCAGTTCACACTCCAATTTAAACCTAGCAAATTACATAAATTAAATTTAAAACAATCCAAACAAGAAAACAAATATGAGGAATGAAATAAAAAATATGACTATCTGTTCGAAAAAAAAATAACCATTTTCTTTCCTATGCAAACTAGATCAGCACAGAGAGTTGCATTGCTACAAAGATTTATCAATTCCATCAAGAATGAAATATTGTTTCCTACACATGAGAGTGCTACTCCACCAAGATTTATCCATTCCATAAGGAAAGCAAAGCAATAGCATTAGAAAAAGAAGAAATATAGCAATAAGAAGTAAACAAAATAAGAAATTTCCATAAAGAAGTAAATCAAGAAAAAAAAAACTAAAGTATAGCTAAGAAAAAAAAAACATTTTCACGGCATCCAGCGGCGAAAAGAAACGGCATGAACAAGCAACGAAGCATCTTCAGTGGCGAAAACCAAAACAATGATCAAGAAGAAAACGATCGGATGAGCAAGCAACGAAAAGAAAAACATCCAGCGATATCTCCACGGAAATATACAAATCGGAGAGCAATCGGAGAGCGGAAAATGAGGTTACCAGTGAGAACAATGTAGGATTGCTGCGGAGGAGTTCTGCGAACGGAAGACGGAGGAACGAACAGCGAACGGAAGACGGAGGAGACGGATGAGTGCCGAGGAGTGCTGCGCACAGGATCGACAGACGCTCGTGCAACGGGATGCAACGGGATGGAGAGATCGCTCGTTGCGAAATTAGGGCAGAGGAGAGGAGACGGAGGGCTGGCGTCTTTCGACGGAAAAAATATTGAAATCACGCCACGATACTCCGCGCGACGCAGAAAAAAAAAAAATAAAAAAAAACGGCGCAGTAACACGGGGAATATTCTCCCTCGTGTTATTCATGTGTTATTGTGTGTTATTCATGTGTTATTGTATCCTGGGAATATTCCTGGTGTTATAATAACACAATAACACATGAATAACACATAAATTACACACAATAACACAAGAATAACACGGGAGAGAATATTCCTCCGTGTTACTGTGCCGTTTTTTTCTCTGTCGGGAATATTTCCCGTGTTATTCAAGTGTTATTGTGTGTTATTCATGTGTTATTGTATCCTGAGAATATTCTTGGTGTTATAATAACACAATAACACATCAATAACACATGAATAACATGCAATAACACATGAATAACGCGCAATAACACATGAATAACACAGGAGGGAATATTCTCCGTGTTACTGCGCCGTTTTTCTTACTCCGCCGCGCGAGATGTCGTGGCGTGTTTTGATTGGCTACGCACTTAAAAATAAGATGCGTAGTACTGATGTAATATTTCTTCCTTTCGACGGGATGCAACGGGATGGAGAGATCTCGTTGCGAAATTAGGGCAGAGGAGAGGAGACGGAGGGCAGGCGTCTTTCGACAGTGTTTAAAGGCGGATCGTTGGTGATCCGCTTATAATACAGAAATAGGAGGAGTTTTTAGTAAAAGTTGCCTCATTGGTTTTTCCAATTAGGTGATGTAATTTCGAAAATATCAACGCTCCAAATAATTTGTCCCAAATGCACCCTTAAAGGAGTAGGAGGGGTCCAAAAAATTTAAGAAGGCCTGAAATTTTGCTGGTTTTTTTATGCTAGACATCCAATTCTTAAATAAGTTGGGGAATTAATGGTATTGAATAAGCTACTATATATATGAAGTGCAATTGAAGACCACATAATTTGCCTCAAGAAGGTGATCCTTATACTTAGTTTGATTTCTAATCATCCATATAAATCATGCAACCAAACAGGGAAGAACCAAAAGGTTGGCTTCATTCCAGTCCCCCCAGCACTTGGTAAATTTAAACCAGCTCACAGTAAGAGTATCAATCTTGAGTTTTGTAAGTAGGTCAGACCAGACTCTTTGAGAGAAGCCACAAGTAAAAAAGTGATGTTCTAAAGATTCTTCATCAGCGTTACACAGATAGCAGCTGAAGGGGCCCCTTAGTCCCTTCATTTTTAAGATATCATCAGTGGGGAGTAGTGAATGCCAAAGTCTCCAACATAAAAAGGACATGGAAGGTGTTAGTAGCTTCCCCCAAATGACTTTACCCTAAGCAACAGGATTCCAATGGAAGAACTTATGATAAAAGGTATGCAGACAGTTTCTGTGAGGAAGCTTGCTTAGTGATGATTTTGTCCTTCTGATCAGTAGAGAAAGAAGTGTCCTTAATCAGATTAATCTGATCACTTGTGAGTATTGTATTCAGTATTCTGCAGTTACACTGGTCATCAGACCAATAATCTTTTACTTGACTGTGAAAATTGGGATTGGGGCTAGTACACGCAAGCTTCTCTCCATTCCACACCCATTGTTCCAACCAAAAGTTAATTTGGCCCTCTTCCAATTCCTAAATGAACAGATCTTCAGCTTGATTTTTAACTGTTAACATTTTGGACCAAATCCTGGAATCCCATAATTTTTTATTAACAAGAGTTGGGTGCACAAATCTGCAGTACTTCCCCATCATATATTTAGCCCACAGACAATCTTGAGCCTTGAATTTGATCCATAACTTGCATAGATTAATAAAGCTTAAGTGTTAAAAATCCTTGAAGCTCAAACCCCCAGCCTGGAGAGGTTTACAAACTTTCTGCCAGGATAGCCAGTGGAACTGTTTCTTCTGTCCAGCCCACAGAAGTTTGTTAAAAATCCTACCCAGGAGCACTTGTGTACCCTTCTTCATAGTAAACATCTGAAGGGCATAAGAAGGTATGAAAGCCATAATACTTTTTAGTAATGTAATTCACCCCCCATTTGATAAGAAGGAGTTGGTCCAGCAATTGAGTTGGGCTTTGATGTGATCAAGGAGTTGGTCCAGCAATTGAGTAGTAAGGTACTTAATAGGAAGAGAAGCAAGGCTGAAGCCAGTGTAGTGACATATCCATTGTTTGATCTGAGATTTAGTGTTAGCACTAACAAAAAATTGACATTTTTGCAGGTTTAGTTCCATACCTGAAGTATGTTGAAAATGCTTAAGGCCTTGATACAAAGCCTTGACAATAGTTTTGGAAGCATTAGAGAAATTTATGATATCATCAGCATAGGACAAATGACTTATGTTAATATTGGACCTATGATGATAAGCCAAGTGAGGAGAGGTAATAAACATCTTATTTAGTAGCCTTGAAAAATAATCCAACGCTAAAATAACGATAGTAGGAGACAAAGGATCACCTTGTTTAATTCCCCTGGAGGCAGTGAAGAAGCCATGACTTTTTCCATTGATCAGAACAGAATGTGCATTGCATTTCAACCATCTTCCAATTAAGATAATGAAATCAACAGAGAAGCCCCTGACATATAAAGTTTCCAATATGAATTCCAAATTGATAGTATCATATGCCTTCTTTATATCAAGTTTGAAAATGGCATTATTCCCTCTACATTTCCTGTCAAGGTCCAGCAAAAGCTCCTGAGCCAACAAAAAATTGTCTGTAGTATTTCTGCCCTTAACAAAAGCCACCTGATTAGAGCAAATGAGGATTTGGAGATGTGGTTGAAGACTAAAAACTTTGATCTTGCTAATCAATTTAGAGATGACATTGGATAAGCTGATGGATCTGAAATCTCCTCAGTTCCGTCTAGTTTAATTTTTTGGTATCAAAGTGATAGTGGAAGAAGTAACATACTTGGGAGGATCAACACCATTGAAAAAATTCTAGGCAGCCTGAATGACATCTTTGCTAATTTTTTACCAAGAAACCTTATAAAAGGTGGAGGTAAATCCATCTGGCCCGTCAGACTTCTACCCATCAATGGAATCTAAAGCATCTTTAATCTCATCCTCCAATGGTATATGAGTCATATATAGTCTTTGCACATAATCCTGATAGTCAGAGAAGAGAGCAATCTCAATATTAGATCTAGAAGTTGGCCTGCTAGCGAACAAATTTTGGAAATAACTAACAGCATCTTGAGCAATCTCCCCAGCAACAATGAGGTTCAGAGGATCATATTGAATTTTCTTCTGAAACTATTACAGGCATAATGAAAACTAGTGTTTCTGTCTCCCTCTGTGAATTTAGTGGTAGCAGCCTTTTGCTTAAGAAAAGTTTCATTATAACTGATTTGGGAGAGAAGGGACTCATTTGCTTGGTATAATTCAGCTTTAGTGTTTAGTCCCATTTGAAATCCAGCTTCCAACCTGAAAAACTCCTCTTAAGCAGCTTTAAGCTTATCTTGAACATTCCCAAACTTATCCCAATTCCATCTTCAAAGATGTAAGGCTACCTTCTTTTGTAGTTTCCAAAGATTAACCCATGGGTTACCATTAGGCTCAACAATCCAGACCTTGTCAATTTCTTGGAGAAAATCAGGATGCAAAGTTCACATGTTCTGAAATCTAAAGGGGGTGCTTCCAGAGCTAGATGAGTTTTGGATGGAACAAAGTATAGGTCTATGGCCAGACCCAGTCAAAGCAAGATGAGAGACAATAGTATAAGGAAAAGTTTAGAACCACTTGGAATTGCCCAACATTCTATCCAGCCTCTCCCATAGAGTGCCCCTCCTCCAAGTAAATTGCGGGCCTTGAAAGCCCAGATCAAAAAGTGCAGCATCCTAGATGAAATCATTGAACCTGGCCATAGCAGAAGGCAAAAGAGAATTGCCCCCTCTTTTTCAGAAGGTGAAGTGACACAGTTAAAGTCTCCTCCCAATATCCAGAAGGAGTCAATAAACAGACCAAGATGCAGTAAATCTTGCCAAAGGATCTGCTGTTGACTAGCTTGGTTGCTGGCATAAACAAAAGTAGCATTCCCCAAATGAACACCAATAGAGAATTGAATATGTATGAATTGGGAATCGTTAAGTAGCACAAACCATTGTAACTCAGATCTAGCAAAGATCCAAATTTTATTGTTCAAAATGGCAAAATGTGTAAACTTAGGGAACTTTTTAACAATGTTTTGAGTATATTTTGTGACCAAGGGTTCTAAAAAAGCAAAGCACCAAATTTTGTGAGTTATGATGAGATATTTTAATCTCTTGATTGAGGAGGGATGTGCCACTCCCTTTATATTCCAACATAAAAAATTGATCATTAAGAAAAGGTTTTCCCCTTCCCTCTAATTCTAAGATGTGGTTCAACTTGTGGATTTATGGAAGGCCCCTCCAGGATTGAACTTCTAGAAGTTGTTTAATTCCAGCCTACCTTTCTTCTTTCTGTTACTTTTTTGAACTTGTCACTCGTCAGTTAGCACATCAGTGAGACTATTAAGTGTACGGTCATCAAGCTTGTGTGGATTGATATCTAAAAGTCTCTCATCTTGAGTAATATCCTCCAAATGTCTCTTCTCAGCAGGAGAACAGTTAAGTGCCACTTAATTATTGACCTCCAGATCAGCAACAGCTATAGTAGGGCTATTCAGATTAAAAAGGTGTTGAGTGGCATCATCAGAGTCAGGGACTAAGAATATCCCACCTGAAACCCTTCCCCCCTCAATTGCAGTGACTGCCTCTAACTGAATAGCAGCCTATACACTCTCCTTATGAAGTCCTGGATTCTTCTTTTTGGATGGTGGATGAATTCTATAACACTTGTCCAAATTATGCCCAAACATTCTATAATGAGGACAATATATAAGTCTTTGCTCCACCTCAATGCTCTGCCAGAAACCCTCCTCTTCAGATCCAATCCAGATCCTATTCACATCAAGAAGGGTTATATCTCTTTCAACTAAAACTCTAGCTGTAGCAGATCAAGCCATGTTGTAATTTAGACCATCTACATTCAAA